CAAGGGCATGTACCTTGGTTGCGGGCACATCCCCAGTAGGTGGTGTACAAGAGGCAGCTGATCGATGATTCTCTGTCATCGATGTTTCTAACTCTTTATCCCTCTCTCTTCCTCTCTGTAAAAAAAATAAAAAATATATATTTTTTTAAAAATTGCGAGGCTGCTGAGTGGAGTGGAGCCTGTTTCACTTGGATTTGGTTCTTCCTTTTCCCTGTAGCTCAGTGTGCCAGTTGCTGGTCTGCCTCATCTATCCTGACATAGATTCATGAACTCAGCCTTGGAAAAGTGGACAGAATCTTAAAAAGCAAATTCTTAGTAGGACTCTTCTCTTCAGTCTCCACCACCATCTTAAAATCCGTGACAACCAGTCAAGGAAGTGCTGCGTCCTACAGAGCCGGAGGGTAATGGCCTTGGTTAGAGGGAAAGGAATGGGACTTCCTAGCAAAGGGCACTGACATAGAGGGCGGGGCTCATACGAGTCGGAACGTGCCTGGAAATGCCATTCTGACTGTAGCATAGATGCTTCTGATGGAGGAAAAGTCCAGCGGCCCGAGGATGAGTATGACCTGAAGTGTGGAGAAACACTTCAAAAGAGGTCTCCTACGGTGGGCTGGACCACCCTGGGTGTATGCATTTTTTTATTATGAGGCATTGGAACTGACGGCCACTCAGAGGTTTTTATCGGGATTCCTGCCATGCCTGAGATTCTTTGAGCGCCCAGAGCACTCTGCTTTACCCCATCATTACTTAGTTGATTGCTTACTGGCATGTTATCATCCTCCGAAGTCCATAAGCATTCGCATAGCTTCTGCTTTAAAGACAACGTGCACGCTGTCATGGGAATAGGCATTCCCTTGAAAAGGGGGAGAGTGAGGGAGGCTGTCTTCTGAAAGGCATTCAGGGCAGAACTCACAGCCTTGGTCATGAGCCTGGACCTGATTTTTGTTTACACATCAAGGAGGAAGCCACCTCTCGGAGCAGACTCACGTTAGCCAAGCCCATAAAGCAAGGACTCCTACTTAGGAACTTACAGGAGAACTGACTATAACAGGAACTCCTGAGCTACCACAGGAGCATGGAATTGGCGCTGGAAGTTAAAGGAACTAAATGGCATTTGGCACGTTTCTTTCACAATAGTCCTCACCAATGGAACTTGAAAACTCATAGTCCTGCGACTAACTCTCCCTCTCCCCTGTGCAGTGCTTGGCGGGGGCATGACCAACTTTGCCTTAGCGATGTCTTCACGCCGAGTTTTAGTGATGCCAACACCTTCGGTTTAGTTTCAATTGCCTACATCTCCAACCAGATCTGAATCAATTCCTCCGACCTTTAAGATATCCTTCATTTTAAGGTGACTTTACTTAATTCGGTTTTAGTGTAGATTCCAAGTGTTGGGTGGCATCTCGCTGTACGCCCCACTTATGCGTCCTCTACTGATACTATTGCATCAATGGCATCTATCATGAAATCTATGTTTTGGTTCATTCCTACCATAATATCTTTTGGTTGTTTATGATATTTCTAATTGTATTTTTGGATGGCTGGACTTGTTTATCATTCTCTTCCAAAAAAATTTTTATTGGTGATGTGGAGTTACCATCAGAATATTTCATTATTCATTTTTTGTGTGTCTTTGTTCACACCCATCATATTTCTTTCCTCCCTCCCATGAGTTACATACTTGTTATGATATGGGTCAAACATGAAAGTCAACCTCTAGGCACTCCTGTGCAATGTGAGACTGTTAGGGAAAGAATAGAGGTTAATTTTAGAGAATCAGTCTCCATCTTAATTTTATCCACTCCTTCCACTCTTAATCAGCCTCCATCTTCATTTCTTCCATTCCTTCTACTTTTCCTTTAGTGTCTCAGAACTTCCAGTCCCTGTCTGAGGTGTTCAGGAAGGCTACCCTGCTCCTTGGCTTCAGCCAGACTCGTGAATCAAACCCACAAGTCGGTCACCTTCATCATTTTTCTCTAGCTGCCATGTGGCCAAGAATTGATAGGAAGCTCAGGAAGAGTGTAGCAGCACTATACACACACACACACACACACACACACACACACACATATATATATATATAGTTTGACTACTTTATAAATAGTATGTATGTATTGTTTGTATTTTTATATAATGGAGCAATGACTAGAAGGTCATACAAGGGTGTACTTGACAAGGGAAAAAGACAAATGGCACCGAGAGGGTACAAAAGGCACATCAATTTTATCAGCAAATAGGGTTGCAAGAACCGAGCACCAATGGCAGACCCCTGACTCAGGGCCTGGCATCATTGTGGCCCAAGGTGATGTGAAGGAGATCCACATTTATCAGTGATGTGGAGGTGACATGAAGGAGATCCACAGAGCGGTGCGCTGAAGGAAAGAATGCGCTCTGAGAGTCTTGCTCATCATGCTTGACAAGTCCCTCATTAATCAGCAGCTGGCAGCCTGGAATCTTTTGACAAACTGGGCGGCATCAAAAGAAAAAGTGGAAAGAAGGCTTTGCTGAAGTGATGTCAGGAAAGGGACCATGCTCACTGACAGCTTCTCCTCGGCTGAGAAGGATCTTTGTGGCTGGACAAGTTCCCACGCCAAGACCTGGAGAGAGGGTGGGGCTGGAATGGGGGTGCGTCAGCAGGCAGACAGCTTTTGTGCTTGGCTGGGGGCGGGTGTCGCCGGATGGTTGGACCCTTGCAGACAGCTGCAGAACTCAGAGGAGGCATGAAGAGGGCTCCATCAACCAAGTGTTGCCTTACAGGAGCCGGACCCAAGGCCGGGCTGACAGGAAGTCGGCAAGCAGGGGCTGGCTTTGCAGGGGCGTGGAGGAGCTGGCTGGAAGCAGTGGGAGTCACCACTGGACAATTTGCCTGAACCTGTCACACAGCAGACAGGCTGGCGGGAAGGGGATCTGCAGCGACCTTGGCTGTAGGAAGTGGGTCCGCCACAAGTTGGTTGGCCAGAAGGCCCGGTGCCACGTGATGCTGGTGTGCAAGAGGGCTGGCAGTTAGCCACCGGCCGGCAGATGAAGGACGTGGAAGGAGCTGCTTGGCAGGGCAGCGGCTGGCAAGAGGAGGTCACACAGCGAACAAGATTGCAAGAACTGAGCACGCAAGGTGGTGGCTGGCAGGGAGCAGGCATACAGGGAACTGACGGGCAAGTCTTGAGAACGTAGCAGATGGGCTGGTAATAGGTTGATCTGCAGGGCTGACCTTCGCCACTCATGGGATGGCATGAACCTGCTTGGCAGCAAGTTGGCTGGCATGGAGTAGCTGCACAGGCGGTTGGTGGGCACGATATTTCAGGACAGGGAGTCACCTCAGAGCAGGATGGCTGGCAGGCCCTAGTGTCACAAGCTGCCTGGCGCGATCCGGACACATAGACAGGTTCCTGGCAGGAGCTTTGCTGGCTGGGGCTGGCTTCGCAGCACTCATCCTGGCCACCGATGGGTTCCGAGCAGGAGGGCTGGCAGCAGCTAACCAGACGAGGAGCCTGACCAGTGCTGGATTCATAGCTGGCTGAGCAGGAGCAAATGGGCTGGCAAACAAAGCCCTCGCAGGAAGTTGCTGGAAGACAGGTAGGGTGGCGGGGAGCAGGCTCACAGCCTCCAGGGACCCCGCCGGATGGCTGACAATGTCCTTGGCATGGGACCAGTTGCCAGGTTCTGCTCCGGCAGAAGCTAGGCAAAAGGATGCCATTTCGGAAGCTGCCACCCTTTGGGCACATGGAGATGGGAGGCACCGCTGGAACAGCCGCAGTGTTTCCAGGACAACAGTCGTCCCCCATGGTGCTGGAGCTCCTTTGCCAGGAAGACACCTACTACCTGGAACTTTTATAGGTCCTCACTTGGGGTGCTGGCGTGACAGAGAGCATCTTTCCTTGTTGTTGTTTCCACTGCTTTGCAGGCAGACATCTGATTAACAGGCTTCCGGAGCCAGGGAGATGCTGGCCCTGCTTTTACAACTGTCAGATGGGTGGGAAGTTTTCTTTGCTAAGTTTGGATCCCTGGATGCTGTTCCTGCCCTGGGATGAGCTGTCGCTTTTACAGGTTGTGCGGCAGTCTCCCTGAAGCAGGCCTTTCCCAGCACAACCTCTCATCAGGAGGCTGCGGGGCACTCTCCCACCAGGAATGCAGCTCTGCACCATTCAATCCGGAAATGAGATGATGTCAGAGAAGGAGAGCAGAAAATCAGTCAAGGACATGCTTTCTAGACCTTTCCCATTTGGCTTTCCTGAAACTCAACTCTGCTAGGACCAATGACAATAGGAATGGCTTCCATTTATTGCAGACCTACCATGTAGCAAGTCTTTGGCTGCATTCTTCATGGAATCTTTGCAATGACCCTAGTTACTTGGTATACTTGTCACCACCATTTTGGAGGTAACAAAACAAATTCTGAATTTAAATTGTGTTCCCCAAATTATGCAAGTAATGCCCTGCACCACATCCAAGTCCCTCTGTCCAGCATACAAGGCCTGACAAGAGCAGTTCCTGGTCTGCTTACCTGACCTCAGAGCTCACCACTCCTCTGAGCACACCTTTGCCCCGGCCTCGCCTAGTGAACAGTGTGCTCACAGGCATATTCATGAGTGTGCTTCCTCTGCCTAAAAAACTATTCCTTCCTAGTTTCTAAATTCTCAGCTCCTATTTGTGCTGAAAGACAAAGCTTCAGTATCAGAGTCCCTAAGAATCCCCCCTTTGCTCCCCTAACACCCTGCTGAGTTCACAGTGCCCGTGCTTGCCTCTATCCCAGCATTTAGCACAGTGAAGTATAGTTCATTGTCTCTCTGTCCATCTGTCTTCCTGCTGGAGTGAGCTCCTCTGAGAGCAGGGACTGAGACTTTTGTCGTCTCATTCCGAGAGCCTAACCTAGAGCCTGGCACCTCACAGTCTCTAATGAACCTTGTTGGATGGATGGATGGATGGATGAAGCTGCTCTCAAAGATGAGGCAGGTCAGCTGATGGGGTGATGGCGTTAACAAGAGAGAGGTGAGAACAGCATGTCGCTTCAACGTAGCCATGTTTATTGGACAATTAAGTATCCTTCTCTCACTGAGGAGGCCCCCAAGGAGCATGAGCATAGACAGCAGGGGAGCAGAGGCAGGAGGACTGGCAGAAATGTAGCCAGGAAAGAGATCATGTGGCACAGCTCGATGACAGCAGCGGACAGGCACCCAGAGTGCCCTCTCAGTGCCCCCAAGGCCTTCATGTGGGCCATTCGGGTACTGTCCTTTCTGAAGAGTTACTTGAAACATAGGCAGATGGTGAGTGATGCTGCAGAAAGAAAAAGATTCTAGCTACGTCATGCTGCACTTCGGGAGGGCAGTCAAGTTCCTCTCTGGTCGGAGGTTTGCTTTGCAGGTGTTGTTGGGCTGAGGCCCGTTCAGCAGTTGGCAGGCTTGATGGCAGCAGGCTGGCTGGCTGTGGCCTCACGGGTGGTTGGGCTGCTGACTTTGGCCTCCGTGGGCTGGCAGGGATTGTCGTCTGAGACTTCCACCTTGCAGGGATTGGAGTCAGCACAATCCGGTTGGCTGGAAGTGGACTTCTTGCAATCCCGTTTGCAGGAGTTAGCACAAGACAGGCAGGAGCTCACCGGGCGGTAGGAGATTGAAGTGATGTAGGTCGGGCGGCCCAGGATGGAGTAACAAGAGCGGTAGCAGGCAGGGCGGTAGCAGGCAGGGCGGTAGGAGATGGATGTCACATAGGGCTGCCTGCAGGTGAAGGGTCCAGGGTAGATTGAGCGGTAGATGGGGCGGTAGGGGACTGAAGTCGTGCAAGACGGTTTGCAGGAGCTAGGTATGTAGAAAGTCCGAGGGCAAGTTGGTTGGCAGATGGCAGATGCAGAAGACCCCGGGCGGCAGCAGAGAGGCTGGCAGGAAGTAGATGGGCAGGAAATAGGCTCACAGCAGATGGACTGAGGGCGCTGGACTATGTAGCAAGCAGGTTGGCATGGTCGGGGCACACAGACACTGGGTGAGCAGGGATTGGGCTCCGAGCAGATGGGTTGGCAGATGCTGGGGACACAACACGAGGGCTCTTGGCAAGTGCTAGAGGCACAAGGTGGTTCCCACGGGCTCGGAACACAGCAGGCAGGGCGAAGGCAAACTGGCTCATAGACCAGAGCCACACAGGGAGATGGCTGGCAGATACTGGGCTCGGAGCAGGATGGCTCACAGGGACTGGACTCACAGCAAGAAGCCTGGCAGCTATTGTCCGCAGAGCAGTCGGATTGGCAGCAGCTGGGTGTGGGGCACACTGGCTGACAGCAAGCAGGTTCACAGACCACTGGTTGGCAAGAGCTAGGCACAGTGCAGACAGCCGGACAGCAGCTGGGCTCACAAACGACTGGCTGGCAGCAGCTCGGCTTGCAGACGATGGGCTGGCAGGGCGTGGGCATACAGAGGACCGCTTGGCAGGAAGCAGTCTCACAGCACACAGGTTGGCAGCAACTGCTCACGGAGCAAGAGGGCTCACATGTGGTGGCCTCGCAACATACGGGTTGGGCACAGCTGCTCACAGAACTACAGGGATCACACATGGTGGCCTCGCAGCACACAGGTTGGCCACAGCTGCTCATGGAACAGCAGGGCTGACAGCACTGTGGGCCACAGCTGGAGGCTCCGCAGCCATCTTGACAGGTCATCAGTTGCCACGTCTGGCTCTGGCAGGAGCTGGGCAAGCAGATGGGCCCTCTGCAGCTCACCTCCGTGGAGCAGAGAGAGATGGCTGGCACGGAGGGGCATTTCCTAGAACAGCAGTTTCCAGACATGATGGAGGTGCCTCTGCTCCCTGGTGAGTGCTGCGAGGTGGCTGCCTGACTGGCACAGCTCCCTGAGGCCCTGTCTTTTATACCCCTTCACGGGCATAGGATGTTTTGAGCTCCCGCGTCTTTTCCTCGTTGCTGTTTGGGACACTTTTCAGAGGAACATCTTATTATGCCAAGGTTTGTTGACCCGAGGTTGTTTATCTGCCCATAAAGAAGCTGTTTGTTTATTGACTTGCTAAATGTGGAGTCCTGTGAGTTATAGGCTATCTTGGAATAAGCGTCATCACCTTCAATGATCGGTATCTCTGAGCATCGTGAACAGGGGAAGAAAAGAACTTATCATTTATCCATCTTTTATCCTCTGTACCAGGCCCTGAGCTGGATACAGGGGATGCCCACGCATAAGACCTACTCACTCATTCTCATGGATATCACTCTCTGGTGGGCAGACAGTGTAGAGGCAAACTCATCGCAATGCAATGATAAACTTAACAACATACATGGGGGTTAGTGAGAGGACCAGTGATGAACTCTGTGGAAGAGAGGGTATCTGGGATGGATCTCAAATGACTGCACTTTATAGCACTGATTTATTTAAAACCATTAGCAATCCCATGAGATAGGGAGGCTTCTGCTTCTATTACAGATGAAGAACAGGAAGGGGGAATTGGAATCCAAGTTTGTCACTTACTAAAGATCCCAATGGCTTGCCTCCTAATCTAGAGCTGCTCTTCTTCCCCTTCACCATCCTGTCTGGACCGACCTTTCTCAGGAGCCTTTGTCAAAGCCACATGTCACAGGCTTTGCGCTCATACCGTCCTTTGTCCTGTTCTGTGCCCCAGACTGCTGGTTCTACCTGACCCTGGAAAGCACTTGGCCTAGCCATTTTGCTTTTGTTTCATTTCTTTTCTTCCTTCACCCCCACCTGAAGTGTCCAGTAGTCCTCCAGAGGTCTTTTTGCATTTGATGATTTTTAAAAATTAAATGTATTGGAATAACATTGGTTATTAACATATAAATTTCAGGTGATAACTTTCTAATAAGACATCTGTATACTCTATTGTCCTTTGGTGATTTTAACAGCTCCTAAAAGAAAGATACATCCAAGACCCAAAGGGTAAAGGAGAAAGATGTGTGTGGTTTTTTTGTTTGTGTGTGTGTGTGTGTGTGTGTTTACAAAAACATTATAAACAAAAGCAAGAACACAAATGCTTTCTTAAAGCATTGTGTCAATGCTACTGCTTGAGAGAGACATTATGTGGGAAACAAACCATAAGCTTCTAAACACCAAGGACTGATATCCTTGCTCACTGAGGCCCCATCTTGCCTCCACCATGTGCTTTCAACATCAATACAAAAGGCATCTTTGGAAAAGCTGAACCATTTTTTTCATTCATTCACCATTCTTCTCTTCATTCATTAATTTATGCAATCATTTGCCTAATTTCAATTTTATTCATCCAACCAACCCAGCTGCCACTGGGTTTTTTGTGATGATACAGAATGAATGAGTTGCAATTTCATAAGAAAGGTTTAGAAGAAAGATACTTCCATAAGCAATTATGGTACAATATATGTACAAGTGCTACAACACCTGGATGCACGGGTGCTCTTTGGGTACCCAGGAAAACAGCAATGTGGTTTTGAGGAACTTAGGGAAGGCTTCTTAAGAGAGCATGATACATTTGAGGAGCAGCAAATGGTTCTATAGCTGAGATGAAAAATTCAAGGGGACAGGAAAGGATAGTGATAAGTCTAGAGGGGTTACTAGCCACTCAATCATAAAAAAAACCCTATGAACCATGGTAATAAGTTGGATATTATAGTGACACCTGGAGTTTTTAAGCAGGGGAGTAACTTGGCCAGGCCTGCCCTTTGGAAATATCTCTCTGGCTGTGGAGAAGGGATTAAAGAAGGAGAGTGAGTCTGCAAGTGGGCCAACCATTAGAGGTCTGGGCAATTACCCCAAAGCTTTATGGTGAACTAGCCAGTGCCTTAGGACTGGAGTGATATAAGATGTTTTAAAGAGGCAGAATCTACAGGACTTGGTGGTTGAGAGCGAAAGATTAGGAATAGGGAGTGTCATTCTTTGAGATGGATCTCAGCAATAGAGGAAAAGAATTTTAGAAAGCTTTGCAGAGGATAAGGCAAGGAGAAGACCCCAAGACTCTGATCTCCACATTTTCAGTTCTTCTTGCCATCCACCTTCTCTTCCTCAGCTAACCCAGCAATAAAATTCCAAATGGAGATGCCCTTCCCCCCCCCCCCCAAAAAAAATCCCTCATAAAGGCTCTCAGCTGAAAAACTTGCATAGCATCATTCATTATACTAGAATGTCATCTCCTCCAAGAATCTTTCCCTGCTAAGTGGAATAAGCTGCTCTTTTAACTATTTAGCCCATTCCTACTTTATTCTCTTTTGTAGCTCTTGGCTCCCTTGATGCCATATAAGCACTAGGAGGCTAAGAATTTTGTTTATTCCCTGATGTAAACCCAGCACCCAGAATAGTGTTTGATATGTAGGCAGTTCACTATTAATATTTGTTGAATGAATGGATGAATGAGAACCTCCATGGACAACTAAGAGGAGCAATTCTCTGTCAATAATTCAAAGAAATTACTACCTTCCACTCATGCTTCCATAAAGCCATGGTCATGAGCAACGAAAGAATGAGCTTCTCTTAATCACAATGTAGACCAGTTGACCTCTTGGCCACCATGTCCCTTTGGCATGCTTCTGCTCTGACTGAGGCTTTGTCCTAGGGGTTAGAGAGCCAGTATTTAAGAGGCCAATTTTAGGCAGAGCAAACAATGACCTAAATAATAGAGTCTAAAACTGGATCTGGGCAGAGTCAAATCTCAAATTCTCTCCCAAAGCAAGATACTGCAAATACTACTGGGGCTTTTAATGCCAAAAAAGAAAAGAAAAGAAAAAGAAAACACAAGCAGCTATCATTACATACTTGCTAGAACAGCTAAACATTAAAAGACTGACAATGTCAAGTATTAGCAAGAACATGGAGCAACTGGAACTCCCAGATATACAAAATGGTACAACCACTTTGCAAAACTGGTGGGTAGGTTTTTATAACGTAAAACATTCACTTGCCATTTGTCTAGCAATCCAACACTTAGGAATTTATCCTAAATAAATGAAAATATATGTCCACACAAAAATTTGTACATGAATATTCATAATAGCTTTATTCATAATAGCAAAGAACCGTAGACAACCCTAATGTCCATCAGTAGATGATTTTAATGTAGCTTATTCATACAATGAAGTTTATTCACTCAATAAAAAGGAATGAACTATTGATAGCTACAGCAACATGAATGAATATTTTAAAATGTTTTCCTAAGTGAAAAAGTTCACAATATATGATTTCATTTATATGAAATTCTAGAAATGGTGAAATTTATAGTGACATAAAGCAGATCAATGGTTGTCTGAGATTAGGGTCAGGTCGAGGGGACACTACCTGTGAAAGGACACTGGGGAATTTGAGAGATGATGGAAAATTCTAGATCTTGAGTGCAGTAATGGTTATATACAAGTAGTGGCTCGGCACACAAAATTTGTGCACATTAAAATGGAATTAATTAGGAGAAATATTTTAATATTGCTATTTGCCCTTTCTCTATAGTAGAAGTGTCAGAGATGAAAGAAAATTAGTAAAAAGTATATGAAAATCTTCCTCCTGTCAGAGTGTGGGGCACACTGCGGGACCCAGAGTCAAGTCCCTGCCCACCTGCATGCACCTCGAAATCTCAAGAGACCCAGCCCCAGCCAGCCCCGCGTCCATCAAGCTGGGTGTGAGGCACAGCCTTGGGGTTCCCAATCAAAGGCCAACAGGTGAGGGGGCGCAGGCTCAGGTCCCCCGGCCCGACCAGGCACCACACAGCCTCAAATCCTGCTCTTCACAGCTCGTTATGGGAAACCCGCCTCTGCTGTGGGCGCAGCCATCTTGTGACAGCATGACGGAGTGAGAATCAATTTGCACATTACTTCTTTATTATATAGGATTGTCAAGATCTCATCAAACTACACTAAAATGGGAGTGATTTATTACATGTAAATTAGATCTCCAAGTTAGCTTATAAAAAATAAAACAAAAAAATTTAAAGGCAAAAAAGCAAAAGCAGCATAATCCCAGTTTTATTTGTAAAAATGCTTAGAAAGGAGTCTGGAAATATACATGTTGGTATTAAAGCCTGAGTGGCATTCTCCCCTGACTGTGCTAGAAAGTTCTGACCAAACCTGAAGCCTCCCGCAGAACCATCCTAGGAGAACTCCAGTGCAGGAGGCATCCAGGCACCTTGCTCAAGGTTAAACTTGGCCAGCCTCAGCGTTTACCTGGGAGTTTTTAAAAACGCAGGCCCCCGCGAGCTGGCGTGGCTCAGTGAATCCGGAGGTCACAGCTCCATGCCAGGTCAGGGCACATGCCTGCGTTGAGGGCTCAGTCCCTGGTAGGGGGTGTGCAGCAGGCAGCCAACCAATTCTCTCTCATCATTGATATTTCTATCTCTCTCTCCCTTTCCCTTCCTGACATCCATAAAAATATATTTTTTAAAATAAAAATGCAGCTCCCAGGGCCTCTGCCCTAAGGCTAATGGATAAAACCTCTAGCAGCAAAGCCCAGGGATCTGTGCGTTTAAGAGCCTTCTCAAGTGAATCTCATGAAGCGCATAGAACTTGAGCCTCCTTGTGTGGTCCTCAGACCTCAGTGCGTAAGAATACCTGCGTTCTTGTTAGAAACCCAGGTTCCCAGGCCGCCCGCCTCGGAATGCTGATTCTGCCTGGCTCAGGGTGGGCTCCAGAATCTCCACTGAACTACCCCTGGGTGCTCTGATGTCGGTGGTCCCCAAACTGCTTGTCAGAAGCGCCCGTGGGGGAGGCCTGAGCACATTTCTCTGGCCCAGGGCCCGGGAGGGGGCGAAGGAAGAGGCGGCAGAACTGCTGTGGTGAGGCCAGCGCGCCCGAATTTATTAAGAAGTTAACAAAGAGGAGGAATCCGTGCGTCCCAAAAGCCTCCGGATGCTGACGAGGAGGGGTCGGTCCCAGAGACACCTGGAATGAGAGGAGGCCTCCTGGTGACCGTGAGAGTCCAGCCAGCCGCGGGGATTGCCCCCCTTCAGCCTTGGGGATCACTTTGGGTGGCACCCCGTTTCCACTCCTCACCAGCACGTGGCTCTAGCTCTCAGGGCCTTGAAACATCAGGGTGGGCACTGATCCACAAGCCTTCTCTCCCAATACCCTGTCCGGGAATGTCCTGGAGACGAGGGGGTCTCGGCCGGAGCAGGGAGGTGGGGGGGGACGCGATCCGTGGGGCTGTCTCCGTGGAGTGGGTGCGGGGGGCTCTTCACTTCGTGTCGCAGACGGGCGTGGGCTGGCAGCACACGGGCCCGCAGCAGCCCCCGGAGGAGCCACAACAACTGGACCCGCAGCAGCTGGACCCGCAGCATCCTCCCCCGCAGCCGGAGCCGCCCCCGCAGCCGTTGCCACCGCAGCCGGAGCCACCACCGCAGCAGCCGTTGCCACCGCAGCAGGACGACCCGCAGCAGCCGCCTCCGCAGCCGCCGCCTCCGCAGCCCGAGCCCCCGCAGCCGCAGCAGGAGCCGCAGCAGCCGCAGCAGGAGCCGCAGCAGCCGGGCTGGCAGCAGCACGTCTCGCAGCACTCCTGCTCCTCACCGCAGCAGGCGAAGCAGTCCCCCGGGCAGCACCCCATGGTCCCCGCAGGTCAGGGCGCAGGGTCAGGACCGCAGCCAGAGCTTCCCCAGGTCTGACCGGCACCGGCTGGATGGTGGCTTTTATATCCCCTCCGCCGCTGGGGTGTGGGCCCCAGGCCAGGTGTTTCCTTTGTTATTATTTGTGCCCGGGTGTCCAGAGGAAGGTCTCATTAGCTGCCTGTTTATTTTCCAGCCCCGAGTACCTCAACTCATAAAAAGGCCCCACTCCTCCCAAACTGGCTGTTTGTCCAGAGGGTAAAAATACACCTTCCGAGAGACCTGTCATCACGGCCAAACTGGGGCCAGCCATCATTAGCTGGGCTGGAGCCAGGAAGGGGAAGCCCCCCCCCCCCCCCCCCCAGATCTGGCTCTGGCAGGGGGTTCCTCTTCTATGCCAACCTCTCTGCCATGGTTGCTAATCCCGGAAGAAGAAGATTGCAAAAGCAGCTCAGAGGCCACTGAGGAGGTCTGGCCGTGTGGCTCTTCCCAGTTGGAAATGGCATCTTCATCCAGGGTGAGCAAGGCAAATATTTGTGTGTGTGTGTGTGTGTGTGTGTGTGTGTGTGTGTGGTATGTGGAGTGTGCTGCACGTTTGTTTGGGCTTCCTCAGTGACCATCAATCATGAGTAATAACTGCCCTGTGAAACGGAAAGAGACTCACAATAAAACTGCAAAAGGCAGGGGAACCATGTTTCTCTGGCTGTGGATGAACTGAGCACTTGTCCTTCTCTCTAAATAGGCTGAAGGAGCAGTGGGCAGAACCTGCCACTCCTGGCCTAGGCCTTCCCTTGATAGGAATAGGAAGATGAGAACAGGCAGGAGGAGGAGAAAAAGAAAGAGGAGGCGGTGGAAGAAGAGGAGGATGTGGAGGAAGAGATGAAGGAGGAAAAGAAGGAGGAGATGGAAAAAGAGGAAGGAGGAGATGGAGGAAGACGAAGGAGGAAATGGAGGACAAGGAAAAGGAGGAGGAGGAAAAGGAGGAAGAAGAGATGCAGAAGAAGGAGCGGGAGAAGATGGAGGATGAGAAGGGAGAACTGGAAAAAAGGAGATGAGGAGGAAGAAGAGATGAAAAAGAAGGAGATGGAGTAAGAAGAGATGAAGGAAGAGAAGATGGAGGAGAAGGAATGGAGGGAGGAAGGGAGGAAAAGAGGAGATCATGGAACATCCAAAACACCACATTGAAATGGGAATGTTGTGCACTTTTTAAAGACCATCTGTCAGAATGAGAGATAAGCATACCCAATACCCAGAGTGCTGTGGATGAATAAAACGCCACAGGAAGACCAGGATCCACAGGAGATGCAGGTCCCTGTGTAAACTCTGGGTCAAATTTTTCTGTCTCCGTTGGGGCTTCGGTACCCTGTCATCCTCTTGGAATGATAATAGCGACTCTGGAACCTGTGGGCTCAGCCCTCTGGAAGGCAGCACCTGGAGCGGGAGGTGGGGATGGAGGGTGGCGGTGGGGATGGAGATCTGAATCGAGGGACACAGTCCCTCCTTTTCAGTTTCCTTTCCTTTTTTAAGACAAGCCTGGAGGTAAGGCAGCTCCTAGAAAGGGCTAGAAATCCTGAAAACCGGGAGGTGAGGGGAACGGAGACAGCGAGAAAGGATGGGCTACTTGGATCTGATGTAACCCTCAGTACTTCATGGGACGTGGAATGTTAGAACTGGGAGGAACCCCAAAAGATCACGTGTTCCAGGGTTCCTAAACCAGGTTTTACCATCGGAATCGCCTAGGCAAGGGTGGGGACTTCTGGAAAACACAGATGTCTACCTGCACCCAGTTCTGTTAAATCAGAGCATGTGCTTGTGGGAGCTTGTGAAGCCATATAGTTGGAAGTTAGTTTCAGATTATCAACAGGTGAGGAAACACTGATGCAGCTTAAACGCCGCCAGGACCATCACCCGCAAGCACCCTTCTATACAAAAGATGATAGCAGGGTCCAGGCAGGACACATTCCTGATAGACTTGACCGTGAAGGCTGTTTCCTGGTCCAGCGTTCCTCCCCCACTCCACTCCCACAGATGCACAGCTCTGGGTAAGTAACACAGCGACAGTCACAGCAGATGCATTCTTTTCATTCTTCTTTAATAATAGGCGATGCATTCACATGGTCAACGTGCAAAAGGAATGCAGTGAACAGTCGTCCTTCTCTTCCTGTGTCCGGCCAGGCCTGCCTCTCACCCCGCCTCCCTCTGTCCCTCTAACCCCTGCACCTGAACTCACTCATCTGGAATGTGGAAATTGTGATAATAATAGCACCAATCTCATAGGGCTGCTGTGAAGGTGAGATGGGTTAGTGTATATGCAGATACATCACGTTGAACCTTAAACCATTGATTGGCCACATATTGCTTGATAAATATTAGCTATTATTTATATACAAAAAGAGATAGTTAGATGTACATATAATCCTTATTTTATACATAGTATATTACACAAATGGTAGCGTAATATGCATCCTGTTCTTAACTCTTTTTATCCTCCTAACAAGATTATCTTAATCATTCCATATCAGTACATAAAGTTTTTTATAGTATTCTATTGTGCCAATCATTTATTTAACCAATTCTCTATTGAAAGACATTTGTTTCTCATTTCCAATAGGGTGCTATTATAAACTTTGTTATTTTAAATATTTACTATTATATAACTTAGCCTGTCTTTATATATCCCTCCCATCCAATCTTGGCATAGAAATTGCTGTGTCAGGGAGTTTTTGTGTTTGTCATTTTGATGGATGTTGCCAGGTCACCCTTCATCCAGGTTGTACCAGTTTACGCACCCTCAGCAAGTGCGAGAGTACTGTCTTCTCATGCTCGACCTACAGTGTTATCAGAGTTGGACCTTGACAATCTGATAGGAAAAAGATAGGATCTTACAATAGTTTTAATTTGCATTTCTGTAAAAAATCAATAAAATATATTTTAAAAAGTGTATACACACTTTAACAGGTGATAGCTCAATTTTCTTTTTTGATAGCTCAATTTTGAAAATGAAATGTATTTTAATAAACACTGCTTTATAGTTATTCAAAGTGTGTGTATACAGTTTTTTTGGGACACCCTATATAGGTTTCAAGTGTGCATTTCTATGATATGGGATCTGTGTATGCTTAGTGCACCTGTCACCAAAAGTAAACTCTTCTTCCATCACCACATATTTGACCCCTTTACCCACCTCCTTTCCTCCAGTAGCCACCATGTGTTGTCTGTGTCTATGAGTTTTTGTTTGCTTTTCTTATTCATTCAGTTGTTACCTTTCAGCTTTATACCCCACATAGGAGTAAAATCAGGTGGTTCTTGACTTTTTCTGTCTGACTTGCTTCTTTCTCAAGAGATTTGTCAAGATTCATAGTCCAATCATTAAATCTCTTTGTAGTATTTATTTGTACTTACTTCATTATTAGTGCATTTATTTCATATGCCATTTTTATTTCTTCTTTTGGGAATTATCTATTCATGCCAAATTTTCTCTTAGATTATTCATCTTTCCTAATTTATTTATAAGAGCTTATTTCATCCTACACATATTAACTTTCCTTTCTGACTCTCACACATGTTGCAAAATTTATGCCAGGGTAGCATTTCTTTCTAATTGTATCTATGATTTTTTTATGCATAGAATTTTGTTCTTTTTTTTTTTTATTTCATGGAGGAAGGGAGAGGGAGAGAGATAGAAACATCAATGATGACAGAGAATCATTGATTAACTGCTTCCTGCACACCCCCCACTGGGGATCGAGCCCATAACCCAGACATGTGCCCTTGACTAGAATCGAACCCAGGACCCTTCAGTCTGCAGGCCAACACTGTATCCACTGAGCCAACCCGGATAGGGCTTTTTATATAGGAAAGTATACTGTATTTTTTTTCTGCTGCTTTTATACTTTGAAACTTCTTCATTATCTTCAAATGAGACAACGATGAACTTTTAGTTTTTATAGTTGCATTTTTTTATACATACTAGTAATGCTGTTCTCCATGAGGAATTTATTTTAAGGTGTGGCAGATACACCTTTACAAAAATGCCCTGGTATTCCTAATTGGGGGACTCAGGTGCCTATTAAATTAATGATTGGTGTGCAATAAAGAACAAGATGCAGGAGGCATTAGAAACTTAGGCTTGGCATCTGTTCTGGCGGCCTCTAGTGTCCATCTGTGACATTTCACATGCAGTTTCTGGTGGTTCTTTCTAGAGGCAATCACAAAATAAGCTCTGATTCTGGCTTCACCAAGAAGCAATGCAACAAAAACTTGGTTGGATGTTAGAATGTTATTATATTACATTAGAGGCCTGATGCACAAAATCTGTGCAAGGGTAGGCCCTCGCAGCCCGGGGCTTTGCCCAGAAGGTCATCTGGAAGGACATTCAGACAGTCATACTGCTGTTCGGCCATTTGGTCGATTTGCATATTACGATTTTGTTATTATAGATGGCACTGATTGAAATCATGTGTCCAATCAGCCATCTCTTAGCAAAGGGGGCACATTATCAGCCCCTCCAATGGTGCTAGGTATGCACTAAGCATTTTCTATGTGTTTTCTTGGTTAATATCCAGGATAACTATATACAATAAGTATTATCTTCATCTTGAGGAAACCAAGGCTCATGAAGGTCAACTACTTTAACTACCGTGTTTTCCCAAAAATAAGACATCCTCCAAAAATAAGACCTAGCGCATGGAAAGATAAGACATCCCCTGAAAATAAGACCTAGCGCAACTTTGGGAGAAAAAAAATTAATATAAGACACTGTCTTATTTTTGGGGAAAACAGGGTAGGAGATGCAGGGCTTGGATCTGAACCCAGATATGTCTGCTTCTGAAACCCAGCCTCCTTCATCTGTGTCTATGTTTCTTGAGGGAACCAGAGGGAGCTGCCTCTTTGTCTTAAGGTAAGTCTTAGAGTAAGAATATAGTCAAGTGAATGTGAGTTTCAAACCACAGAGGCATCGCTAATTTATTCACCAGTTTACATCAATGGTTACCAAATGGTGAGCACTCATACATAGTTACAAAATCAATAGCTAAATAAAATCATAATGAAATGTGAGATGACCTCTCATCAGCAAGGCAGTCCAAAAATGTCAACTGGAAGAGAGTTGAATCTCTGCTGCTATTTCTCACCCACTCCTCATTGGCTCTCAGCCTCTGCTTTGCTCAGTCGGGTCTGGAATCAGCACCGTTCTGTAGGACCTGCTGCCATAATGGAAATGTCCACATCTGCTCCACCAACATGGGGTCCACTGGACACAAATGACCACTGAGCACTGGCAATGTGGCCGATGTGATGGAGAAACCGTGTTTTTAACTGTATTTAATGTTTATCTATTTTCATTGAATAGCCACATGTAGCCAGTGGCTTCTGAGTTGGACCGTACAGCTT